TGTCCCCAGGGTTGAGTTTTAGGGTGCTGATCTTGCTCATGAAATGTCCCCAGTTTTTGATGTAGAATGAGGTTTTTCCAATGTGAGTCTGTAGGAGGGTTGCTAGGTGTTTGGCTAATTCATATGTTGGGGAGCTGATGGCACTTACAATGGGCCTGAGTGGGATTGAATCCTTGTGGATTTTGGGGAGTCCGTATAGTCTTGGTGGGAGAGCTTCTGTCTTGCAGATTCATTGAAGGACGTTGGGGTGCAGGGAGGAACTCCTGATCAGTATGTTTGTTTGTTTTGTGATTTTGTTGGTTGGGTCTCGTTTCAGTTTTCTGTAGGTGGTGGAGTCTAGAAGTTCTCTGATTTTGTCCTGTATTCTTCTGTTTCCATGATTACTGTGGTGTTGCCTTTGTCTGCTGGCAGGATCATGATGTCCGGGTCTGAATTCAGGGACTTGATGGCTTTTTTCTCCTTTCTTGTTATGTTGCTTTTGAGGTTTTTTGCTTTCCATAGGATCCTAGACATTTCCCCTCTTATTTCCTCTGCTTTTTCTTCTAGAAGATGATATAATGCTGATTCCACGTTGGCAATGATGTCTTCCACAGGAATTTTACTGGGTGTGACTGCAAAATTTCCTCCTTTGCTTAAGACTGAGGTTTCTTCTGGGGAGAGTAGGCGTCCCAATAGGTTGATGATGATGCGCGTGGTGTCTAGTGTAGATTTCTGTTGGCTTGTTTGGCATTTGTTGAATTTCTGTTTTTGTCTGGCTGTGTGGTCCACCATTTCCTTTTCCATCTTTTTGTAAGAGAGGGTATCAATCTTGCCCCAATCTTGACTTCTCATATTTTGGCTGATAGTGATGTGTAGGCCTAGTAGTCCTTTGTCTGTGGAGTACAGTTATTTGCGGGTTGTGTGGATTCTTTCCCGTAGGAGGGCATGTTCCAGGCAGTCGTAGATGCGGCTGGCTTGTGGGGAAATGAACCTGTCCTATAGGTCCACGGTAACCTCACCAACCTCTTACATCACCCCTAAAACCTACCCACCCAGGGGGAGGGGCTGGGTTGATTCTTGACCCTTTGTCCCACCTCAAAGGGGTGGGGCACCTGTCAAATTTGATTTGATGGATGCTAGGTACTTATACTAATATTGGAGTGAACCTTTGAACTCTTCTGTGGACATACAATAGCTGTGTTCCTTATGCAGGTGAAGTCCCATATTTTTTTTCCTCAACCTCCAAGATATATAAAAAAGGTGGAGATGTCTGATAGCATGTACATCTATTTGGGCATCAGACAGACATATTTTTTCCACAACTGTACATTACATAGAATCATAGAAAAGTGAAGTTGGAAGGGGCCTACAAGGCCATCAAGTCCAACTCCCTGCTCAATGTAGAAATACAATCAAAGCATATTTGCCAGATGATTATCTAAGTTGTTCTTGAAACTTAGAACCTTTTAGGTTGGAGACAGGTGGTATCTTTTGAGCAAAGGGCACATTAGTGTCCTGGCAAAGCTTCTTTGTTCCTGTCAGAAGCACCAGAGTACAATTAATAAATAGATAATTTTCATCCAGTGAGGAGCATCAATGAGCATTTGGGGCAGCTAGCATCAAATCTTTCAAGGGCATAGGGTCCATTGACAGAGGTGTGAAGTTGTCTGCTCCCTTTTGCACCCACAAAGGCCTGTATTGGTACAAGATTTTCTGAGGTTCACTTTGGTTCTAACATTCAGAAAAGGGGACAGGTATTAAATGTTTACTGTTATTTTGCTAGCTTTATTGACGTATTTCTTGTTTAACCAGTACTTTTCTGCTGTCTTTTAAAATGCTTCAGTCCTCACAATGTTTTCTTTAGAGCTTAAACAGTTTCACAATACTGGATTTTTTAGGCTCTTATTTTCTTTGTGTTTCTTGTTCTAATGGGAAAAACGCATATTTAGCGTTCATTTGTGTTTGCTTACTGAAAGTGCACCTGTTCATGTTAAATTTTTCTAATTGTGATGACTCTGAATTATACTAGGGTTAGTCACACCTGCTCTAACATCTCTTATGTTCAATAATACTGTACAGTCCAACAGGTTACAAGTGGCTTACAAGTGACTAATATAGTATGCAAGGACTTTAAAATTCAGGCAAATCTTTAAACTTTTAAAATCAATATTCAAAATATTTTCAGAGGTTAGGTTTCAGATTTCACTAATGATAGTATGAATTAGAATGTGACTGTCAATCTTTTTACACCAAAGGGTTGTCAGTCATTCTGCATTCACTCCCCCTCTACTCCCTGCTCCTGTACTGAAACACATGGCTCCATTTTGGGTGGGGAAAGACAGACAGAGAAACATGGGAAGCACCCAGCAATTGGGGGGGGGGGTGGAATTACCACTCGATCACTGCCAGCAGTTCCAGTCCCAGAAGCTGTGATTTTTATTTTTATTTTTTTACTATTAAAGCCTTCCCTCCTCCCTCCATCCCAAGGCTCCTAAAGGCTTTTCCTGGACGAAAGGAAGCCATAGGGAGCTTAAGAACCAGAGGGGCATTGGAAACATTATGTGAGTTTAAATTAAATGTTTCCAGCACCCAGTTCTTCTTATGACAGCCAAAGTTATGTCAACAAGATTTTTTTAAATTTTTCTTTTCCCTTTTGTGCAGCATTGGAAGGAGGAAGTGGATTTCAAAAGACTTGCAAAATAGATGGGTGTTAAACAAACAAAACAGACAAACAAACAAACAAAAAACAAACAAATAAATAAGAGCTGAGTTAAAAAAAGAGAGTAGACATTAATGCAATGCCAATTTCTTCACAATTCAAAGCAGGAAATGCTCCTTTCTCCGCTGAAGCCCTCTTTCAGCCATGTGGGGAGAAGCTGTCTCCTAAGCAATGTATTCATGTTGTTTTTATTTTGGCAGTGGCTGCTACTAGCCAATTTGTCAATATCACTTTAGTCACCATCATCATCATCCTCCCCTCCATGTTGAGCATAGCTCTGAAACTCACTGTGTGCTTCAGTAAGGTTGAGAGCTATGCTTGAAGGGTCCCCCGAGCCAAACAGGTCTCAGCTGAGAAGCCAAACCAACTGTGTCTACCAACCATCATTATGATGAGGGGAAATAAACAGAAACCCATACTGGATCGGTTGTCACCTGAGTCAGCAAGGACCGCGTCAGATGCTATAGCCCCTGGGCATCTGGTGACAAATGGGCTACAGGGCACAGCACAACCTGTTGAGGGACCCAGACAGGTTGCTAGAAAGCTACTAGAACAACATACATGCAAAACTTGGACTCTTGCCAAAACTCGAGAAATTATGAGATGTTATTACGAAGCAAACAGCCTGTGGTTTACTGCTAGGTTTACTGCACAGTTTGATTGCTGTGTAAATATCTCTGTTCTACAGTCTATTGTTACTTGTGAGAAGTCTTTTCAGGTTGGGTGACTGCCTGTATTCAAGTATAGGCATCCCACCAAAAGACTCAAGGGAGACATTAATGTTGTGAATTGATGATCCCTCTGAGTGTTTTTAGTTGGGGACTGTAGGTAGCAGCTAGCAGTCTTCTGCTGTTATCTATTTTGGACTTGTCCTATAGATTGTTCCTAGTTACCAGTCTAGCCCTCTTCATCTGTTTTTTCACTTCATCAGGTGAGTATGGCAGTCTGAGATATGCCTTGTTTAAGCCTTCAAGGAGAGAATCTCTGTGACTGCTCTGAGCAGATCCAGTTGCATTTTAGTGCTGGTTTTTTTGCAAACCCTGCAGACTCCCACAGACACCATTTACTCTGACACAGGTGTTCACGTGTGCTGAAACGATTCAAAATAAGAAAACAAATCACATTCACTATTGAGTGAAAATAAACAAACCCCTTGTGGCTGTTTAAAATAACTCTCTTTTTAACCAAAAAAGTGCGCTTTGCTGTGTGTCATAGTTAGAAAATTTTAAATCGATTTCAAGCATACTAGAGCTGATTCAAAAGCAGGAGTATTCCAGTGTTTTACCACACCCTGACATGGTTTTTCTTAAGGAATCCTGAGATCTATAGTTTGTTAAATATGTTAAAGATCCATAGCCTACGGTTTCTAGATTAGCTTTTGCTATCCCTGGGAAATATGTTTCTATGGAGATTGGTATCCAAAGTACAATTGTTATTTCCATGCTAGATAATCATATTTTAGAACTCTACCTAAAGTAGAATGGTTCTAGCAGTGGCAGGAAATTCATATGTCCTGTAGCAAGCACTGGGTTTACATACTAATGTCTTTGGATGTTTGCTAAAAGAAGAAATATATGCTGGCATGAGTCACAGGTATATGAAATCTTACCATTCCTGAAAAGCTCCAGAAAAATGTTGGATGTGTTGATACATTTTTATCTGCAATGTTCACACTCTTTTTGTAGCTGTTGCTGTGTTCGTTGATAGCCAATATGCATCTATTTGCTGAGTAGTCAAAAATAGTTGTTCTGCTTTAGTGAACAGTGAAGTTGTCCAGCAAGGAACTAACCCAAATAATGTTCTGATTCTTTCTCTCTCAAATATTTATCAAGTGCTTTTTATTCTGAAGATTATATCTATAAACTATGCTTGTAGGTTGCAATGTTTTCTAAAGAGCATTGTCAGCAGCCTAGAAGCATCCCTAAATTGTTTGTGTGTGGACTTTCTATAATGGCATCTTCAAACTTACAGAATTCTTGGACTGAAAAAGCAAGAGTCAATGTTGTTCTAATTAGGAGTTAAGTAATTATTTGACAACTTCTCAATATGCTACATAGCACGGAAGTGGATCATCACCAATTATTTGACAAGAAATGATAAATAGCTCTTAGAATTATAAGAAAACTTTGATGAAATAATATCAATGGACATTTTGTATAGTGTTCAGGTAGGTTCATTTCCATATGAATGTCTTTAATTCCTATTTTAAAATAGGTTAAAATTCATGAGCCCTGGCAGCCAATGAGATTTGGCATGTTTTGGAGTGCTCTAGGAGATGGGGATGTAGTGAGGGTGCAGGATTCAAGGGTCTGTGTTTATAGCTTTATTGGTTTGTCCCTTGGTCTCTAGTTACATTATGGCCCATTGCAAGACTTCCTGGAACTCAGTCGAGGAACTCTAATGAAGCATCTCACTTTTTTACAATGTGTTTTTTACAGTGCCATAGCTTCCATCTTGAGTGCTTGGCTAGATCAGTGCCCCGAAGACTTCGAAGAACCACCCGAGTACTTCTGTCTGAAAAAAATCCTGGATTATCTGACACGGACAATGCCGGGGTCCGAACCAGAAAGAAGGGCTCGCAATTTGTTGGGTCAGTTCCAGCCACAAGAAGCAGAAAATCACAGTAAGTATGTTGCTTCTTATTCAGAGCTTTAAAAATTTACCCTTCTGGGCTGCAGCTGTCAGAATCCTGCATGAGAGTCAAAGAACTTTAGCCTGAAAATTACTGTTTCCAGGCTCTGCTTCTATTGTCTCAGAAGGTGTAAAAGATTGTTTTAACAATCTGAATGCTATTTATCTTCGGATGCTTTGAAATTCATAATGCCTTAAACTGATTGGCCTATTGTCACACTGTCAGACAGTGACAGGTTCTATAATTGAATTAAGTGCTTCATGATTGAGTTTTCCATTCTTACTCCATAGCAGAGTGAGAATCCAAACATGCATCACTTCTTAAAATGCCTAGTGCTCCTCTCTGCAAATTACAAATGACAGCATTTCCTAAGAACTCTGTTGCTTTGAAGATGTTGGCATGGCCAGTGTCTTCATTGCAATGTGGATATTTTCAAGTCAGTTTGCAGCTGTTCTTAATCAGATTTTTCACTTCCAAAATAGCTGGCTAATGTTAGTTTCCTGTGACAGACTGGAGCTTTTTGACTACAGCAGTAGGGTCATGAAATATCATTCCTTAGCTACTGTCATGACGGAGGAAGTGTCTGTGCTGTTTTTTCCTAAGTGCTGCACTGCTGACTTCCAAAAACAAAGGGAAAATTTACGTTCCCAGGTCAAAGTGCCACTGGAACAATTGTGAACATTAGTGACACTGGAATGCTATGCACAGTGTCAAGCCTGACAAATAGCCTCTCCCCTGCTCAAGTTTTCCTGAGACAAAAGGTTTCCTGTGGGCATAATTAGCACAACTAGAAATCTGCTGAAAGTTATGGGATGAACATAACAATATTGTCATCAGCGTTCACAAAAAAAAGTGGAAAGATATGAATAGGAAATGATGGTACATGATAAACAGAGAATAAACTTCAGTGCTTCCTTTTCCCTTAAACTTCACCTAACTTGAATGTTCCAGAAATTATGACTAAATTATGCTGTTAATAAGATGTGGCACCAAACAAAATTACTTATTTTTCAAAAGGCTGACATTACATCTAAATAGTTCTCCTCGTCAAACATTCCAGAGTTAACAAGTGTTGCCAATTTGTGTCTAATTATGTTCTTTTTTGGATTTAGTTCCATGAGATCAAACAAAGAAAGCTTAAATGCTGAGATCTATAATTAGATCTTGACAGGGTGATAGATGGTTCCCACAGAATAACCTAGGTTCAACTGATAGCCTACTACAGAACTCTTGCCTCTGTACTTTCTTGGTGAAAAGACTGAAGGGCTCCTTAGCTGAGTTGCAGATATTTCAGTGAGAACAGCCAATCTAGGTCTTGAATGCCTAAAGGAATTTCATAAAAATAAAATAAAAATGTGGGTAGTTTGGTAGATGACTGTAGCTGCTTTTGTTGGAATGTATTATGTATAACCCCCTTCACGGATTGCTGCCTTGTCGTGGCAAAGGGGCTTGAGAAATCCAGAGAAGCTATGGGCTATGCCGTTCAGGGACACCCAAGACGGACAGGACATAGTGGAGAGTTATGACTAAACACAATCCACCTGGAGCAGGAACTGGCACGCCATCCCAGTATCTCTGCCAAGAAATAAAAAGCCAAAAGATATGACACAGGAAGATGGGCCCCTCAGGTCGGAAGGCGTCCAACATGCTACTGAGGAAGAGCGGAGGACAAGTACAAATAGCTCCAGAGCTAATGAAGTGGTTGGGCGAAAGCCGAAAGGACGCTCAGCTGTGGACACACGCCTGGAAGTGAAAGGACAGTCTGATGCAGCAAAGCAAAAAACTGCATAGGAACCTGGAATGTAAGATCTATGAACCTTCGGAAGCCGGAGGTGGTCAAACAGGAGATGGCAAGAATAAACATTGACATCCTGGGCGTCAGTGAACTAAAATGGATGGGAATGGGCACATTCAATTCAGACAATTATCATATCTACTATTGTGAGCAAGAATCCCATAGAAGAAATGGAGTAGCCCTCATAAAGCTGTATTGGGATAAAATCTCAAAAATGATAGAATGATTTCAATATGAATCCAAGGCAGACCTTTCAACATCA